AAAAAAAAAAAAAAAAAAAAAAAAAAAAAAATCCACTGCGCAGGCTCGAAGGGTCAACGACCTTTCCCAAATCTTCGCTCGCGAAGACTGGCCATTATTATTATTATAGCATTGTTAACGCTTGTCACCTGAAACACTCAGAGAAATCACTCACATACCTTAGGCAGGTCAAGGAGTTGGTTCACTTCAGAATACTTGATTGTTGCTGCTGCTCAGCAGCCAGATAAGCAAGAACCTGCCTTGGTTTCCAGGAGACAGGGAGCCAGGACAGCTTGGCTGTCCCACAGCTGCTCCTGTCAGAGCGCAGGCTGTTCTCATTTCTCCAGGCTGAAAGCTGCGTCCAGTGCACCAAAAGGCTGTACCTGCAGTTTGTTTAGCCAGCTTGAAGAATCAGTGCTTGTTAGTAAATTCCTTGAAGTTGCTCTGGTTTGGCCTCTTTATCCTTGTGTTACAGCATACTGAAAAGGGCTAAGTGCTCTAACAGCACTGATATTCTGGTCTCTGGTGAATGCTTGTCACTCTGATCTCTCCATCAGTTCTTTCCCATTTTCATGTTCTCCTTAACTGTATTTTTGAACATACAGTTAAGCCGAGGGCCCCCAAGAATCTTACCATTGAGAAGGCTAAAAATGGTAATTTCAATCTGAGCTGGGAGGAGAGCTACTCTCCTCCATCCACACTCTCTGGACAACCAGTCATCTATGAACTGAAATACTGGAGGAAGCAGCACCCGATGGAGGTAAGACACAGCTAGTAGTCTCTTCATTTTCAGTCTCTCTGGAGCTTTCAAGTTTAACAAGTCCTCTGAAAATTCTTGAAACCACTTCATGAATAATGGTGTAAGGGCCAGCAAGGGCAAGTCCCACAGTGTTCCTGATCATACAGAATCACGGAACATTCTGAGTTCCACCAGGATTATCGAGTCCAACTCTGAAGTGAATGGCCCATACAGGGGATTGAACCCATGACCTTGGCGTTATTAGCACCAAGTTTTAACCAACTGATCTAATCTCAGGGTCACTTGCCACAGGTCACTTTGCCCCAAGGTGATTCAGCTGGGTGTTAAAGGACTGAAATTGTTCTGACTGCCACCCCAAAATGGTCTGCTGCTTGTAATAGTCAGAGATTGAAAATACAGAGCTCCTGTTCCCTGAACTTCATTTGCTCCTTAGATATCAGGAAGCTGGATGCTGTTGGTGGCTCCATGGAGCACCTGAGGCACTTAAGACACCCTCTTGAACAATCCAGCACTTTACAGCTGGGCTTCTTCTGATAGAAGAACATGCATGGTGGCATGTCACAAATACCCCTGATGACAGCAAACTGCAGTATTACACACAGTCATTCAATTGCTCATTTGTGAAAGATCACTGAAACACGTAATACTACTGGTATTTAGTTGCCATCACTAACCCTTCGCCTTATAAAGAAATCAAAGTGAACTTTCTCACTTTTTTTCAGGTTTCTGTAAAAGCAATTAACTACCAGGCAAAAAGCTTTGAGATTACTGCAAGCTCCTTGAGGAGGGGCTATGATTACGTTGCAAGTCTCAGGTGTAACTACACAGACTACCCGGCCTACTGGAGTGAATGGAGTGAAGAAGTTGAATTTCACTATGGTAATGCTGTCAGAAATAGCAGCTTGGGAAAAGGATGGTATAATCTTCATACCCTGCTGCTCTTCTCTTGGAGGAGAGTTATGGAATCATCTTCTTCATCGTTTTGTATGTAATGTGAATACGTCTGTAAAGGCTTCCAAAGACACTAACCATAAAAAGGCAACTCCTGGGCCTCACAGTGTACATTGGCTCTCCCAGCAGCTAACAATTCCAAGTAACTGGCCACAGTACATTTGCTGGTCTCTGACACACCGCACACCTTCAGTATGGCAGACCTGTGGGGGTCTGTTGTTGATCGGCTGGAGGCTCTAAAGAAGCAGTTTTTTAAGGTGCAGAAGAGCAGCAGTGAATTTGGTACTGCCAGTGCTTTTATTTAGATGCACACTCACATGTAAATGTCTGGGGTTTTTTTAACAGATTACCAAGTGACAGCTGAAGACATTCTGCAGATGGCTGTGCCCATATCCTGCATACTGATCATGGCAGGATCTGTCATTTGCTACTTCTGTTTTACAAAGTACGTATCATACTGGCTCAGGGTTTATAGAGCAATGGCTTACACAGCCATCAGTATTGCTATTGATAAGCTGAATGTCTGCTAGTACAGGAGTCTGATGGTCTGGGTTTTCTCAATACCTTTATCAGCTGTCTGAGCAGAGGTTTATAAACACGAATCAGTTGTGCTCTTTCATTTTCTGAATAGTCTCTATTAATCTTACTAGAATGGTCTTGTTATAGTAGGGGTTTGTCAGTTTTGCTGGGGTTCCAGTAATGATGGTTAAATGTCTTTATTTCTTTTCAATTTCTTTTAGTGGCAGTGTGAAAGTGAGATCCTATCTGTTTCACACATAATTTCAAACATGATTAGAAGAACATGTGACTTGCATTGTGCAGAGCAGTCACGTACCAAACATATAAACACCTTTGCACTGGTTTAATGAAAAGCAGCACTTGGAGATGTACAGAACAAGCACTTCCTGTTGCTGCAATGCAGATGCCTAAGAGGGAGAGGAGAACAGAAGAGGGAAATATACACTGATGAAGCCCAAGTGGTCAAAACAATTTTCATTCTTCCCTTGCAGAGTGAAGAAAGAATGGTGGGATGAAATCCCAAATCCAGCAAAGAGCCATTTGGTTGTAAAAAATGTCAAGGTAATTTAAAAGCTTTGCAAAAAATACCTTTTCCTGATCACCAGAAGGAGAATGTGTAATAAGTGCTATTGTCTGTCTAGTGCAGGGGATACTAAATACAATTCATATGTGTCCTCAATCTCATTTGTGTCCTTATTAGTTTTCAGTTTTCTGCTACTTCGATGAAATTAAGTTCCCTTTCCATGACTTAAAGCAGAGTCATATGGAAAAGCAAATGTAAGTAAGATATTAAAAAATACACCTCTGCTTTACAGAATAAAGTAGTTTCCTGTTACATAAACATTAACTGTCCTTTCCTTTTGACTTCCAAAAACAGAAGTTGCAAGAACTGTCTGGCTCAAAGTTTGTCAAGCCAAAACTTCAAGGGAAAAGATAACATCAGAAATGTTGAGAAATCTTGCAGCTGCCACAGCAAGTGTGGAGAGTGGTTGCCAAAAGGCAGCAGTGCAGTTTTAACCCCTGATACAACTCCATTTGAAGACATTATTGAAATCTGTGAATGTTTAACAGACAGTGAGACTGGGAGCCAGGAAGAGACTGGCAACCAGATCACCATGTTTGAGCCTTGTGAGAGCAGCATCGGTGCTTTCAGAGAGCACAATGAGGCACTAGCTAACATGTTTGATGCACTCCTGGCAGATGAAAATAACGTGCAAGACAATAAAGACTCAGACATCCTCACAGGTGAGAGGAAAACCTTCAAGAAACTTGAGTTGGAAAATCCACCACAGCGAAATCCAAAAGAAAGCACAGCCCAGAGTCAGCGGCCATGGGATGTTTCTCATACAGCCTCTCTTTTCACCAAAGCCTCTCAAGATGACTACAATTGTAGTACATCCAGCAAGGAGTCAGAACTGTCGGAAGAATCCTTTGAATCTGGCTATCAGAGCTCCAGCATAAATTCTGCTTCTCTGGATGCAAGAGATCTTCAACAAATGGTTCATCAAAACCTTTTTCTACACGGTTCAGAAAGTGAGAGGGACTCTTGTGTCCTGATCCAGGAATCTACAAATAAACCATTCTTTGGGACTAAAACAGACAGAATAAACAACCCTGCAAACAAGAGTTTTGATACCCTTGTGTCTGCACCCGTGAGGTTGTGTGATTCTGCATATAAGAGCTTTGACTCCCTTATGTCTCCATCTGTGGAGCCCTGTAGTTCTGCCTACAAGAGCTGTGACACCCTTTCGTCACCATCCCTGGAGCCCTGTGGCTCTGCCTACAGGAGCTTCAATGCCCTCGTGTCCCAGTCCATGGCCAACAGTAGCCTGACTCTGTGCTTTGAAAGTGCATGTTCCTCACAGCCTCCAAGACAATTGTCAGAGACACCAGAATGCAGCTGTAGAGATCAAATTGCTCAGCCCGCTGGCAGTGGGACATGTCATGTCAGCCGCAGGTCTCCCTACACTGAGCTTGACTTTCCAAACACCTGTTCAGAGCGTACTGATTTTCCATCTTTCTCCACACATGCAAATGAAGGTGCTTCAGCTTTCCTATCAGAGGAAGAAATACATAAGCAAGTAATATATCAAAATTTTCCAAAGAGAACCAATATAACTTCTTGCCCTATTGCACCTCAGCCATCAGGTTATCAGCCTTTTGATAGTGCAGGTAGATGTAATGGTCCATACTGTGACAATGAGATTATCTCGTTACAGGAATCCTTCATTGGTCTGTGCAACAATCTCAAAGAAGCACCTCCAGATATTGCAATCTGTGAACTTGACCTGAGGACAAAGGACTGTGTGTGTTTGACTGTTCAGAGTCCTGGTTGCAGCGTTGTCCCAGGTTTAGCCTCTAGTGAGAATGACACACAGACCAGTAATGGCAGCCCTTGGATCGATAGCTCTAATGAGCTGTCTGGTGATAGCAATGACGAAAATATCAGCAGAGAGGAACAGCTGTTGCATTTGTTAGAGCTGAACTGTCAAGATTTAAACAGCAGAGAAAGAACTACACAGGGAACAAAACAGAACAGCTTTAACTCTACTGGCAAAGTAATGCAAGAGAGCGGCAATGACAAACTGAATACTGACTGCCACTGCCACCCACACAGCCACTTGAGGGAACTTGGAGATGCAGGGGGAAGTGGAGAGATGCTGAAGCATGTAGAAGGGAAGGGGAGTGGCTCAGCAGCCAGCTTACCAGCATCACTGGACAGCATTACGCTAAACTTAGGCAGAAAAACTGCAGGGCCCCTGGAGCACCACATCTCAGAAAAGCTGTCACTTCGTTGTCTTGTGAATAACTCCAGTCCTTCTGATTCTCACGCCATTCACAGTGAGGACTCCAGACTGGCAGTTGCAGTTAAAAAAAGATCAATAGAACCGTTCAAGGAAAACAGCAGGAAGAATGAGAAAAAAATGAAATTTGCGCAAGCCCTTGCCCAAGAGGACAACTGCTATATGGAGGTAGCTTAGCCACATTTGCCAAGACTGAGCGAGCCTTTCGAAATAAACTGTATGGCAAATTGAAATGTTGCTTGTTATTTCAATCTTGACTGAAATGAGGGCTGCTACAGGTCACACGTCTTTCAGGAGGTTGTAGCACTAGTGTCTGCCCAGGACTGGCAGCCAGGAGGTGGTGCAGGCCCCTGGGGACAGCTGGGGGTGGCACCCAGCAGCTCTACTGGGGTGAAGCCAGAGCTGAAGTGTCTTCAGCTGTGAGTGATCTCTAAAAGGGAGCAACAGCTGCAGGAAGCCGAAGTTCTTAGTACAGTTCCTGTGGTTATTGCCCTGGCTGTGTGTTGCTTGGGAAGCACACAAAGGTGATGTGGAAGGTGGTGCTGACACACGTAGAAGTGGGACATAGGTGCAGGTCAAAGGGGAGGTGACTGACTTAGCACACAGCTTCCATAACTTATTTCTTTTGTTGTCCTGTGTGCCTAGCCCTAGCACGGGGTGTACGTTTCCATACCCACTCAATCAAGACATGAAATACAGATTACTGTCATTTGGGCTTACACAGTGCTGTTATTGGTCATTAGTTTCTTACTCTGTAAAAGCAAGCAGAATTACTTCATACTTCTGCAGCTGTAAATGGCATCAGACATTTCTAAGCAGTGTTTTCCCAGAAAGCTTATCTAATGTGTGGTCCAACACCGTACCTTCATGGAACATTTTTTTGGCTTCTTGTTCTTGTCCAGTTGGAATGGGAATTATGCACGCAGCTTAAAGGCTGTATATGCTTCTTGTTAGGTAATTATTCAAGAAATTTTACTGACAATTCCGAACTTCTCTACAGTGTTATCATATATTTTGATATGGTAAATTCCACCCTGGTATGCTGGCAGTGGTAAAAAAAGTTAAGAACCATCAAGTAATATTTTGTGTATTAGAATGTATACATGTATTCTCATTTAGAAAACTCTATTTGTATTCCCATTCGAAAGGAAGGAAACCATAATGCTAAGCACAGCAACTGGTTTTAACATATTTTGTAAGTAAAATTTTTGTACTGCAAATCTCCCGAGTTGGCCAAGTAGTAGAGGTAACTTCGTTTTACAACACTGAAAAAAGGGTATGTAAGCCCAGGAAGGAGACTTGCAGCGTATCTGTATTTGGATGGGATAGTTAATATTTGTACAGGCACTGGGTTGTAGCTCATTTTCACTGTGGTGGTGGTTAGTGGAAGATCTTGCTTGTAGCTAAGGTGCTGATGAACATGTTATTTATTTGTTTTAACCAAAAATGTCAGATTAAATTTTATTTTCACTCAGGAGAGGTTTAATTCTGTCAGAAATACTCTTTTCTTTACATGAGGGTGGTCGCTGCTGTAGTTGGCATCAGCACAAGTTCTGTGAGATGGGAGGCTGTGAGACACACAGAGGAAGGTGCTTTTCAGGACCCATCAGCCACAGCTGCCCTGGAACAGTGAAATAGCAGGATGCAGAGAGGCCGTGGTCTGCCTCATAAGTAAGCTGACTCCATGAAGTCAAGTTTAAGCAAAATCCAAGAGTTAATACTGCTGCCTGGAATGGGTTACTCACTGTTTACTCTAGTAGCACAGGGATCTTCTGCAAGGTGCAGGGACACCAGTGGTGCTTTCTTCCCCTTCTATTCTTGTGCTCTTCCTTGTGTTCTTTGTGAAATCCTACAGAAAGGCTTGTGCTTGGCTGGAGAGGTCTGCTTAGGCCAGGATTGAAAAGCTGTTTGCTGCAGCACTTGGTTCTCCCCAGCTCCATTCTGCCTTTCCCTGGCTTTTTTTCTTCTGCACAGCTATGCCCTCTGGTCTGCCCATTTCCATCAGATGGCTTTCTGTGTGGGGGTATTCTTCCCTTTCTCTCCCTTCAGTGTTTCTCTGGCAAAATCAAACTGTAACTCTTGGAGAAGGGGGATCCCTGTTCCTATGCCGTTGTATAACCCAGAACTGGAGATGGACAGCGGGGCTGGGGGACAGCTGTCTGACTCCCCCTCGTCCTGCGACAGACACAGGGCCTGGCTACAGTGGGAGCTGAGTTCACATTCCATGCTCCATCTCTGTCACTTTTGCCATCCAGAGCAATTGCCAGGCTCTGAAACGCAGGTAGGCTTCAAATGACAGGTTTCCAGCCCAGACTGGTGATCTGCCCCCTGGGCAGAGTGTGGGAGTTGTGACTGTGGGCTGGCACTGAGGGGTCTGGACTGAGCTCACCACCTGGGGACCAGCCTGTGCCTGCAGAGGCAGCTCACCCTCCTGAGAGAGGAGCTTCCTTCCCAGAGACGGGAACCCTCCAGGCATGTCCTTTTTGGTAGTGGAGGGCTCCTGCCAGGACAGAGAATTACTGATCATAGTAAGAGCATTTTTAGTGGTTTTCAGTTTGTTTGGAAAGGCTGCAGTGCAAGTGGAGGCTTGTGCCAAGTTTTAGCCTAGTTGTAATGCCATTTATTACTCTCGCACAATCACTCCACCTCCACATCCTTCTCACCTGGCTGCCTACCAAATATTAGCAACCTGGCTCATCATGAGTGAAACAGGTTCCTGAGAAAAAAAGCTGGTGTGTTCCCAGTTCAGGAGAAGCTAGTTCCGATACACTTTTTTTTTCCATCGCAGAAGTGCCCCAGGCTTAGATTTTTTTGTTTCTCTTCTGAGCAGTGTTGGCTCCGTGGAAATATGCAGCTGTACAGATCAGCTGTTGACAAATTCTCATCAATCACAAGGTTTTTCATTGCCTGTGGAAAACTAACAATACCCACAAGACTAGTATGGAGCAGGAGCTTGAGGATGTGGAGTCAAGTTATTGGGGGTAGGGACAAGTTAATTTAGGACAGGGTCAGCTTTTTAAATAACTTGCCTCTGCATCTTGCTTTGTGACCCTGCATCACTGAGGCAAGATGCAAGGATGTTCCAAGTGTTCATCCACCATGAGCTTTATCTAAGAAAAGCAGTTCTTTTAGGTGTTGCAGTGATAGGGCCGAAGGAACAAAGGGTTAAGAGAATCAAGTGAGGGGGTTGTGACTTCCAGAACCCTGTTCCCTAAGGTTTACCTCTGTCTGTGGAATTATGTGTCAAAACTCCTTAGTGAATAGAGGCTGAGAGGACAGTTTTTGTTCTCCTAGCCAAGTCTTTTCTGTAGAAAACCCCTTGGGGAACGTGACTTGTGCAGTTTGTGTTCTAGCCCTGACAGAGGTGCTTCTAAAGTGTGTTATTTTGCATGCAGTTGCTTTCACAAGACATACATGTTTTTTACTAATATTGGGGGAACTGTGCCTGTGCAATGCCCAGGTACGTGTGGACATGCACAAACACACACATGGATCATGTTCCACCTCTGCAGATTGCTGAGTACAAGGTCTGCCCCAGGCTCCCATGTGATGATGTATCATGATCTCACATTACCCGGAATTCCGTTTTTTTTCACCACTCTGCTGTGACTGAGCCATGTTGTGCCATCAGTGTCTCATCAGCCCTTGCAGCCACGTCCACAGCCCTCAAGGCCCCTCCAACTGCGCCGCAGTGACGAGGTTGGAAGCCAAGCAACAGCTCAGCAGGAACTTGCTGGCAATCACAGCAGGGAGACCAGTGAACTGGTCTGGTTTGCAGCTGCAGGGCTGTCATTTCTCAAAGCGGCTTGTTCTGAAGCAAAGGAAAAACAGTCAAGTGAGGAAGAGAGCACTTTCCAGGTACCTCACTAACACAACCAAAGTTAAAGCTTGCTGAATTGCCATACCCTCAGAGTGTTTTCCCAGAGTGTCTAATAACAGCTGTCAGCAGCACCACTGGTTTGCTAAATCCTGAATGTTCTCATTCCTTGGGACAAACTGAGAAAGCAGTGTTGAGGGGAACTTTACATCTCAAGGTGCTTTTCTCTATTTGTCCCTTTTGCTGTCCTGCTTCCAACCTTTTCCTTCTATGTCTTTCTGTATGGAAATTTCCATACCATTGGCTGTCTACCCCTCCACCAAGTCTACAAGATGAAAGGAAAAAAAAATAGGCTGCAGAATGGGGAACTGGCTGGTGTGGCACATTTAGCTGCATGAGAGGAGAAGCAGCTTCTTTTTTAGCTCTTAGCTAGTATACTCTCTATAAAACTCTGACCATCTGTGCAGGAGACCTAAGTTCCTGTATTCTCAATGCAGAGTGGCAATTGTCATGGCAAAAGTTGTTGCAGTCACAGCCACAGCCTGTCTTTGGTAGAGAGATGGCTGTGCTAGACTTGCTCCAGTCCGTGGAGTGTGACAGACATTCTAAGGAGCTCCTGTCCCAGTTCAGTGATGGATCAGTTGCTTCCTTCATCATGTCCATTGTATAAGAGCAGGGCATTCATAGCAGTGTGGTGTTCATCCTCTGCTTGAAGTTTACTGAATTGGTGACTAACACATAGCAGTGGGACTTTCCTGCTTGCTGCTGTTTCCCCAGCTCTTAGACATGGGGAAATTTGCCGTAAGCTGAAGAGTTTGAGGTTGGCTGCTTTTCCCCAGCGCTCAGCTACTGTTGGTTTCACTTGCAGTGAGCCACCCACACAGCAGCAAGAGCTATAATGAGGTGAGAAAGCACTAGACTGTGTTCTGCGGGTAGAATTTCCACACCTGGCTGAGGGTTATAACCACTCCCCAGTTCTTGTCTTGAGGCTGTAGAGTTGCTGTGAGAACCAGGAACACCCTGGCCATGGCTGGCCATGGAGGCAGTGCCTGTGGTGAGTACCCAGATGAGGTCTGGAGGAGCTGGCTCATACTGTGCTGCAATTGCTGGCCAGTGCATGTGTCTGGCAGGCCCTGGGCTTGAAGGCTGTGCAAGGCAGTTTGCTGCTGGGTAGTCTGCCCCCTCTGCTGCCTGGCTGAGGTGCTCCAGAAGCACATAGTACACTCCTATACGACAGGGGCAATGAAGCCGTGATGTGCCTTGTTTCCTTCACTAGGGCAGGAATTAAGATCCACAGTTTGATGTGTGCTACCTATTTCACGGCCTCATTCTGAGCTGTGCTGGGCCCCTGCAACAAACGATCTTGTCCAGAAGCGTCACGGGTTCTTCCCACTCCTGTAGTGGGTTTGCATAGCA